TCAACTGGAGCGACCAAGGTCAGAAAAATAGCGATGTTTTACCGAAGGGAGGACTTAGCCTGTAGCTCTGCACTGCCCCTGGGAAGCCCACAGAAGGGAGAGAGAAGGTTGCATAGAAAACTCCAGGAGGCAAATGCAGACTTTTGCTCTGAGCATGCCTCTCTGAGCAGAAGGGTTTGAGGTTTCTCAGAAAATGCCTTGTAGCAAATCCTCTAAGCCCTGTGATTTCCCAGGCTTGTGCCCTCACCACTGGCACCTTGCGGCTACGTGTACCCAGGGTACCTTGCAGAGAGGTGTTGACCCTGGGAGAGCTGTGATTCCCATTGGAGTCCTGCCAGCCAAGGGGGAGACAGAGGGAGCGAGCATGCTGGATCACCACATGAAATGTCTGCTCTGCTTGTGTGCAGTCTCTTTGGCCAGCAGCGTTTTGGCCAGCCCCACCTGCCTTCTTTCCTTTTTTTTTTTTTTTCCCCCTCCTTTTTTTTTTTTTTTTCTCTTTTCCTGCAGCTGAACTGACAGAGAGGAGGCTGCGGCTCCTTTCTGTCCCCGCAGCCTTCCTGTCTGGCTGACTCTCTGCCCTGGACACAGATGTATATTTAACTATGAATTCTGTGAGGCACAGATGATGCTTGTGGAGGGAGTGTGGAGCGGGAAGATGCTGTGATCCGTAGGTGGGCTGCTGCGGGTGGGCTGTGAATAGTCCTTGGGCAAGAATGAAGCAACAGTAACAATATACTGAGGTTCAGCCCCACTTGTTTAGAAAGAAGATTTTGGTACATTTCAGCGATTAATTATGTGTCCAGGCAGCTACTTCATTTTAAAGCATCTCATCCACATACCTCACCCTCTGTGAGCTCATTTATGCTCAAGTACTGCACCTCATGCTAACCTGCTGGCTGTGACAGCTGGTTGCAGAGGTTTGCCCTGCTCCCTGCCAGCAACCTACCTCTCTCATCCAAATTGCTGCTAGGTTCCAAACAGGGTTCAGAATGTCTGAGTGAATGCTATCTTAGGCAAAATGGTTGGATTTCTAAGAGTAATAGCTAAGGTGTGACAGATAACACCATCCTCACATCAGCCAAATAAGGCGAAGCAGGAGCGCACCTGCAGCATAGAGGAGGTTACATGTTACAGCTTCAACATGTATTAGTTGGTCAAGGTGAACTCTGGACCAAGCCCATAAACATTTAAGTCCCAGAACAAATGTTTGGGGTTGTACAAACATGTTAACTACCTCCAGTTAATTGGCAAGCAATTACCTTGAAGCAAAAATAGCTTTCCCATAGCTGAGCAGTTACAGAGTGCCTGTCCCCATTGTGAACACTTACAGATCACTAACATTTTCAGCAGAGGAGCCTTGTGCAATTTGCCTTCTGGATCCTGGCAGGTTTGTGATCCAAAGTTTTTTGTCCCCAGCAGCAATTGCTGTTTGTTTGTGGTATAGACTCAAGCAAATAGGGCTGTGTGCCACAGAGCTCATTTTCATGCTGCCCTTTAATAAAGTTCTGCAGTTCATAATGCAATGAAAAAATAGGATAATATTGGGTGTCAAAAGCATGCAGTTCAGCAAAGGAGTATATTTACTGTGTGCACTATAATGCAACTATCAGTGAAAGCTAGGTAAGTATTTTTAATTTAAAGACAGGTTGGCAGGCTAGAACGTGTTTCGTGCTGAATTTTGAACCTTGGTGATACCTTGCGTGATAAAGATACACAGCTGGACTGGATTTCATTAGATGTATATGCAGTTGAAAACCAAGAAGCAAAGTCCTGCCTGCACCCAAAACAGCACTTGAGGCTACCAAGTGAGAGAACTGTGGTTGGCTGTTTGACCTGTTGCCTCCTTGCTGCCCTGAGAAGCTATGGAAGCCAGTAGCACATTTTAATGAGGTCCCTGGTCCATGTAAACCCATCATCTTGTTTCAGAGCTTGGATCAAGTCCTTGCTTGATCCTTCACAACATTTTGGCAAAAAAATGCCTAGATCTTCTTGGTCTGTAACTAAACCACAGCTGGGTTTCTTCCTTGGGAGAGATTATCAGAGCATTGCTGGGAAGGCGAAGCTGGGCACACACAAATGAGCAGAGTCTGTCTTTGAGCTTCTGTGACTCTGGGGCTTGTGGTGGCTGAGATGAGCTGGCATGTGGTTCAGAGGGGTTCGAGCTGAAGAGCTGCCATCAGCACCACAGCGTTGTATCACAGCGGGTGAAGTGCTGTGTGCTTTGTCCCTGTCTTTACCTGCTCCAGGTCATCGCTTTTCCCAGGAAGTAAAATGTTGTACCATGGAGGAGGGAAGCAGGTGACACTGGGACCTTCAGGAGAGGCAAGCCCACAGAGCTGGGGTGGCTGGCACCCACATGGATTTGCATGGTGTTCCTCTGGACACTGCAGTGTGGTGGAAGATGAGTCCACAAAAACAACTTTATAAGGCAGTCAGCATTCTCTGCCTTGTGTCCTGGAGGAGTGAGGGAGTGGCAGGAAAACAAAACTAGCAAAGTGCATTTCACAATCCTGGCAGCAGCACTCAGCAGACACAAGAACCGCAACGAGGGAGTCTCAGATTGCTCTCCCTGTGCAGCCTGGCTTTAGAAACTTTGGCTTTATGGTGAGCCTTGCCAAAAAGTTCTCCTGGCCCCTCAGCTGACTCCTGTGGCCATGTTGGCTTGCTTTTGGTATCTTCAGGTGCTTCGAGCAAGGGAAGCAACTTTGGGTACAGATACCAGAGCTTTCCAGGAACCATGCAGATACAAGTGCAGCTCTGTTTGCTGTAGCTCCTTTGAATTAACTTTCTGTGCCTGTAGTGGCAGACAAATTTGCTGGGAAACATTTCGAAAAAAAAAAGAAAAAGGCATTGATCCAGAAAGGCACTGTGCACAAACTAAGCTTAGTGTACATGAGTACACCTGTGCCTGCCACTAGGCACGTGATGGATTCTGTGCTAGATCCTAGCCAAAATAAATTTTAAATAAGTATCAGAGCATACTCCTGGAAAATGAATGCTGGTCTTGTAAGCAGAAATGCTTGCAGCAGGAATAGGAGTCTACCTCTCTGTGTGTCCGCTGGGAATATCCAGCAGGGAGGGTCACGTGCAGTCCTTTGGAGCTCACCAGCAGAGCTGGTGAAAACAGGTTTTGATTTGAATGAGTTATGACCCATTGAAAATGGCATAATGCGTAACCACAGTAAATTGTCATAATGAGATCACGAGGCTCCAAAAGTGGGCAGCGAGGAAAGAGGCCTCATTCCACCAGTGCACACGGCTGACTGAGCCCTGGGCAGCAGAATGCAGTGGAGGGGCACAGTCTTACTCCCTGAACATTGTCTGCTTAGTGGCAGTACCAGAGGTTGCACAGCCAGACAAAAACTCATTAGAAGTTTTGAGTTATAAAGAGGAAAATAAGCCAAATTTGTAACGGCTTTGCATTTAATCTTGCCCAAGCTAACAGAGGGGACTGGGCTAATGCAAATAGTGTGAAAACATGAATACTGTGCTTTCATGCTTACAGAGGGTTAGCTTGATTGTTTCTAAACCATGTTGCTGTAGGAGGAGAGTTGGTGATCAGGGCAGAGCACTACATGGTTGAAAGCAGCTCTCTCTGGAAGCACGATGAAGCCGTATTCACTTGACGCATCCCCAGGCTTGCAGCTCTGCCAGGCCAGATTGTGTGGACCCCACTCAGATACAGCTGCCCGGGGCTGCCCAGCTGCAGAATCATCACTGGGTTTTCTTTTTCCATGGTGAGGCAAAGTCTGAGACTACAGTGTTAAATACATTTAAAACTTTACAACGTAAGTAGCACAGCTTTTGCCTGCCAGGAGTCTTGTAGATGGACTTCTGGAAAGAACTCCTTTCCTCCTTTTCTTTCCTCCTTTTCAGTATAATGCTTTTTGTGTAGGGCCAGTCCCAGTGCAGGAGACTGGAAGAAACTAATTCTGTTTAGAAGTTATCAACTGTACATGTCCCTAGAAGCCTGTTGCAAAACACCATGCATGTGATGTAACCACATCCTCCCGCTCCCCCGAAGGTGGAGAGCAGAGGTGCATTGAAGTAGCACATTGCCAGCTACAGGACCTGTTCCCTTTGTCTTTTGCCTTGAGGCAATCCAGGATGCTTGCCACGTGGTTGTCACCTAGGTTTGCACCCTTCAATCTCCTCCATCTGTTACACTGCACACAAATATCTGTGCCTCCAAGCTATGGAGAAAATTCAGGCTCATGCTGATAGGCAGCACCCTCCTGACTCATATAATCTATTCAGAGTATTTTTATTATTATTAAATTCATAGTCTGAATTCAGGAATAGAGAAAGACCCAATTCAGTGCTATTCCATGCCTGATCCTTAGCAGGTTAGCCCTTGGCCATGGGGTTGTTCTTGCGGTTACCTAATCTGAATAGCATGCTTAAAGCCTAGGCCATTTCCAGGACCCCAGACATTCTGTTATGGGCAACTGAATCCAAGGACCCTCTGTCCTTGCAGTAGGCACACTCCAGGCCGGTATAGAGAGGAGTTTGGCTTGTCTTGTTTTCCTGATGTTGGCTTGCTGACATTGCTGCAAGGACAGCTGAAATAGATGGAGGCCAGCCAAGCTGAAGAGAGACAGTGGGGAAATGTGTCCCTGCATACGCTTAAGAGCAAAGCACGGGGAGCACTTGGGCTTTCCTGGTGCTCATGTACCAGAGAGGTCTCCCCAGAGCTGACCCAGTGGGTGTTTCTGCATGCCAGAGCCACAGAGGAATGTGCCAACATTGCCCACACTGCAATGCAGGTGCAGCTGTGGGGAACCAAGATTTTCCAGTTGGTGCCTTCTTTGTAGCTGAGGAGAACCAAGAGTGAAAGTGCTTGTGTAAAATACTTTCTGAATTTGCTACTTCTTAAGCTCACGTGCTGTGTGTGTCATCCACTGAGTAGAAGTCCTTCTGAGATTTCATTTGCTAGTCTCAGCTTAGCAGCACTGCGTAGACCCCTACTAACATTAGTAATTTTTCTAATATCCATGTAGGAGAAGAATTTGGACTGGTTTCCTCGGATGAGAGCCATGTCTCTGGTTAGCAATGAAGGCGACAGTGAGCAAAATGAAATCAGGAACCTGCAAGAGAGGCTGGAGTCAACCATGAGCCTGGTAAAACAGCTTTCCAGTCAGCTTGCTGAGCTCAAGGAACAGGTGAGTGCCCTGCAGTGGGTAGCAATGTGAGGGCGTGTGGGTGAACATGCTGCCTTTCATCACAGTTAGGACACTGTTACGAAAGAGACTTTTGTCTTAGGTTTTATCTTTCCCTCCAGTAAGCTTTCTGAGTGGATACACTGATAGGGCTTTGGAATGAAATTGTATTCTATTAGCAACAGCAGAGTACAGGTAAGGAGAAAAAGGGAATTAGTTATGAAATCCTCCCAGTACGTGAGGACAGAAGGAAAAGTGCAGAAGCCATGATGAGCTTTGCAGACGTGGGTACTGCATAACCTGGCAATAAAAAGGGCACAGCATCAGAAATCGGTGTGAACTGGTGGGAATCAGGAGAAAAGCTGTTGGACTCTGACACTTGGATCTTTTTCAACAGTGGAGATGTATCAACAGTGCTGTTGTGAAAATAATTTGCCGAGCCTGTTGCTTTGCTTGTGTCACCCTTATCTTTGTGCTCCTCCCACGGCTCCCTGTTCTCTGCTGTGTGGAGCACCCACTGCTGGCCTCCCTTAAAGCCCTGCTCCTTTAAGCACCTGAAGTATTTTCTCTCACTTCAGGATCAGAAGGCCAGCTCCTCTTTTGTTAAAGACGTTGGCCACCTCTGGTTTGCTCATTACAGTTTCAGAAAAGCATCTTTATGTTCTCTTTATGGGAGGGTCTTCAGTGACATCAACAGAGTTGTCTAATTATCTTCTTAAAATCCCTCCTTAAAACTCCTTTTCCCTGTGAAAAACTCAACACAGGTTTAGCCTGGATATGCTGAGACTGTTGCTTATCGTGCTTATTGTCCTGGTGGCTTTTTTTCATCCCCCTCTGGCTGAATCTGTTTTCTCCTGGCTTAAATTTAAACTCTCTGTGGCTGGGACTGTCTTTTTATTCTGTGATTGTACAGCATCAAGTGCAAAGGCTGACCCTCTGCAGGGCTACACAACATGATAGCAGTGCAAATAATGCTCTGTGAGACCTGTCACTGAAGAAGAATGATACACAAATGAGAATAAAATGTCCATACTTTACAGGAAACAGATTTCCCCCTTCAAAGGTATCTCTTGCTTGCAGTTTTCAACGCTGAAGGAAAGAATTCCACTCCCTGGTGTTGTGCTTGTATGTATCTTGCTCTGTGACTGCTAAATAATAGTAAAACGGGGGAAAAAAAAAAATCTCAACTCGTTTCTCTCTGCCTTTCCACCTTAGATGACAGAACAAAGGAAGAATAAGCAGAGGCTGGGCTTTCTTGGATCAAACACACCCCATGTGAATCATCACATGCCACCACCCTGATACCACGGGGAGAAGCCGTGACTAGCCTTTCATCAGTATTCCTGCTTTATTATAGAATAAAAAACTGAGATGGAGAGGAGTGAACAGTGCCTATTGTTACGAAGTTAAAAACAACCAAGTGCCAAGATGTTAAGTGGTTTAGCTCTGGGAACAATTTGTAGCTGTTTTTCATGGTTGAAAGGGACCACAACTTAGAATGCGAGAAAGACAAGGGAGCTCGTTTGTGTTTGCTCACGGGGCCTGACTCAGCTGTGTTTCTGCTCTGCAACTCGATGGCTTTGGTGGGAGCTGCTGTGGGCAACAGAGGTTGGGGCAGCCTCTGGCCACGTCCTCAGAGCTGCCTTGAGACTTCTCCCTGAGGCTCTGGGGTAAGCCAGACGAGCAGAAGGAGAAATGGTTATTAATGCAACTACAACAGCCTGTTTCAGAGTCAATGGAAGTCGTTTCTGGCTTATTTGCCAAATAGCAACGTTAGTTGTATTTGCTTGGCATTTACTGTTTTTTTTTTTAATTACTGTAAAAATGTCTGTTGAGTAAGCAATAATGTTGCTTCAACTAACTTCTACTAGGAGGGAAAGGGGAGAAGCCTCAAAAGATTGAAAAAAAAAGAAAAAAAATAGAGTTGCAAAGAGAAACATTAACGCTTTTGAATTTTAGCTGTCACCATGCAATTTCTTATTTATAACATGGAGCACAATGGATCTGCAGTTGTGGGAATGTTATGCACGTAACACTGACAACGTAACTGGAAGCGATTTCTTTATCCTGGCTTCAGATGTTCTCGATTAATGTGGCCGTGAGATTTCACATACTGAGGAGTTCAACTGTGTTTCAAATTCAAGTTCCAATGGAGGATTCAGGAAAAAAAAAAATTATATATATATATCTTTATATATATACACCTGTAGTTTGAAGTACATATGAGATTTTATTTTTTTAAAAAAAGCTTAGAAATGCATTTCTGCATGTAGCTCTAATGGTGTCATCACTTTCTATAAAGTCATCCTCAGTGGGAGTTAACTTGAGTAAATAAGCACCATATTTTGCCAGCTTCCTTCTGAGCTAAAGCTCATGTGTTTAGCCTGCTTTTGCACACCCTTCCTCTTTTAGGGGCTTGCAGGAGGGACGGGGGTAATGCCAGAGGAGCTCCTTCCAGCTCTAGACTCTACAAAAGGCAGCAGCCAAGTCAGCTGTTCAGGTTTCTGCTAGTTTCTGTATTTCTTGGGATAGCTATAAAACAAAAGTTACAGGGTTTCCACAGAGCCTGAGGACTCTTCTGTCTTCTAGGAGGAGATTTTGAGGGCACAAACAGGAGTTGTGGTCTCACTTCACTTTCATTTTCAATAGGTTTTGGGTACCTCATTGTCCTTGGTTCATTTCAAAATGCATGTCCATGATGTGGAGTCACTTTTTAAACCAATATATTTTTGCAGCGATTTTCCCCTTGCAACTTTTGTTGTAAAAGCCATTTTGATCAAAGGTGAAGATATTATTGACTCCACTATTTCTAGTGTTTCCCTGAAGAAATTCAGTCATCTTATTTAAGGTATGGTTCAGACCAACAGACCCTAGAGTGAAGGGAAAAAAGAGGCATTTTCCCCTCTCCATCACAAATTCAAGCCTGCTCTTGGAAGCCATTTCTTGTTTGTACCAGTGAGGCTGAGATTCAGATGTGCTTTAGGGTCTGATTCTTCTCCACTGAAATATTTCCCATTGGCTTTAATTGTGTACTTCAAAAGTAGTGCATGTAGAACAGGGATTTGTATATTTTTCAGAAAGAAAATCTCTTCCTGTTGACTGCTCTTTAGTCCATAGAGCATCCTGGTTCTGAGAGGTGGTGGCCATTTCCAGCTTTAGGGTCTATTTTTCCTGTAAGGATTTCTCCCACATCCAGCCAGCGCTGTGCCTCCATGTGCTAAGGTGAAGAGCAAGTGGTGGTTATCAGGAATGGCACAAGGCAAATGAAAGGCTTTAGTGGGACACTAAATTATCTACAGCTCCACTGCTGGAGGGCTTGCAGCCTCTCTGCAGGCAGTTGTCAGCTGCTTCCCAGGCCGAGGGCATGCGTGGAGGCAATGGGAGCTGGCTTGAGCTGCTTGATGCTGTGTGTTTGCTGTGACTTTGCTTCCAAGGCTGGAGTGACCTTTTCCACTCCAAAGACCAGACGACCAGAGCAGATGCGGCTGTTGCGTGGAGAGCTGATGGCAGGAAGGCTGCTAGGTCAAAGCAGAATACAGAAAAGCAGTTGTCTTCAAAGAACAGCTGAGATATTTTAGGAATAAAGCTTAGAGTGTACCTTTCATTCTCACTTGCTGTGTATGAGGTCTTGGTGCTTCTGCTCCAGCATCACTGTGGTGATGAAAACCCCTTCCATAAGCCTCACATGGCAGTGAGGGGTTGGAGCATCACTCTTACAAAGAAAGGCAGAGAGAGCTGGGATTTTTTAGCCTGGAGAAGAGAAGACTGAGGAGAGACCTTACTAATGCCTGTAAGTATCTAAAGGGTGTGTGCAAGGAGGATGGAGCCAGACTCTTCAGTGACAGGATGAGGGGCAACAGGCTGGAACATAGAAAGTTCCATTTAAATATGAGGAAAAACTTCTTTACTATGAGGGTGACAAAGCACTGGAGTAGGCTGCCCAGGGAAGTTGTGGAGTCCCCTTCTCTGGAGATACTCCAAACCTGCCAGGATGTAATCCTGAGTATTGTGCTCCAGGTGATCCTACTTTAGCAGGGGAGTTGGACTAGATGATCTCTAGAGGTCCCTTCTAACTCTGACAATTCTGTGATTCTGTGACTTCACGTACCAACTGGCATTCAGCACTGAGAGACTCATGGTGAATCAATTCTGGGAGTTTGCCATCAGCCACACGCCGTGCAGTGACCAGCCACCAGTGTAACACACAGCTCTGCCTTTCTGACTAGCCTTACTGTACCTCACAAAGCCCAGGGAGTTGCACCCAAACATGAAGTCAGCAGTAAGTTGGTAGGGAATCAGACCCTGCAGCTCAATTAACTCTAATGAGTTTATGCAGTTCATCAGATCTAGCCACAACTTCTGTTTCAACAGCAATTTCCTCTTCCTCACACATAGGCTTAGTAGAGGCATAAAGCAGAATTTAATGGAACAAAGAAGAATTAAATGATGACAGGTGGGCAGTTGGCTGATACTGGGAGTGTCTGGCATTTTTCTTGTTTAGACTTGAAAAAGGCAAAGGAACCACTGCACAGCAAGGGAGGTTTCTGCTGTTGGAGCTGGAAAAACTTGATGCAAAACTTGTGCCCTGAGCTCCTTGCAGTTGCATACTGCTGCTGCTCTTTGTCTTGCACCCTAAGTGATGTCCCCAAGGCCCCAGCACCGAGTTGCTGCCCTTCAGAAGGGAGAGCTGCATCAAAACCCAAGAGCTTGGCCTTTGCCACAGTGCCTTTCCTCTGTGGATAGCTTCCAAGGGACCTCTGTAATCAGTAACAGTAGGTGATGCTACTCACACAGATTGTAAATATATTTCACTGAGCATTTTGACATTTTTGCTGATTCTGCCAAAGCTTCGGCCCTGCCCTGCATCTCTGCTCCATGTGAGCAGTCTCTACACTCGCACACACCTTTGTGTGCATGGTGCCTTCAACAGGAGACTTCTTACTGGGGTAGTGGTTGCAGGGCCAGAGCCAAAGCCTTAAAGATTGTGAAATACCCCCATCAATGAGTTTAAAAGAAAAAGATAATTGGTTTATGCATATATTTATATGTATATCTTTGTTTAATGCAGCTGGGATAGCCTCTTCTTAGACAAACGTCATTTACCTTACCTATTTATATGAAATGATTGCAAAGAAGTTACAACATCTAAGAGCTTTGAATGCCTTAGAAGGGTTTATAATTATAAGCTCCTTGACAGTTAAAATCTACTTAAGTAAATATGTCCATTGCTGCTGAATGTAACTTTTAATAAACTGTGTCATTTTATATATGTCTGCCTCGCTTATTCTTGGTGCTAGAGGTGGGGGGAAATGTGTGTTGCTGAATTCAAGATGGATGGGAAACCCAAGCTGGTTGTCTTGCCTGGGAGACGAAGCTGTGACTATGCATCCATTTCTTCTAAGCCACAAAGCAGTGGCATCAGTAGAGTCCCGAGTGGAAAGGGAGGGCTCGTTTTGTTCTTTTGAGGAGAATGGGTCAGACTGGCACCTTCTCTGAAGGTTGGGTGACAGGTGTATTGTTTGCTGAAGTGCTTTTTCTTTAGGCTGTGACTGGCAGGCCAGGGGCAGCCCTGGTTGGAGGTGGGCAGGTGCAGGCTTGGTGATGGATGTGAGTGTTGCTGGTGGAGAGGAACAGGCTCCAGCCGAACAGGGTTTTCTGCTGGCGCCTGAGGCGGGTTAGCTCTCACTGCATCCTTGGGTCTGATGTGAGTCAGCGACTCCCTGCGAGGCTTAGAGCATCACATGGTGCAGTCAGAAGGAGTGGGGTGACATCCCATGCCTGTGTCCCTGAGGGGAGCAACAGGGCAGTCCTGCTAGGGCTGCGACTGTGCTCGCGAGCAGCAGAGAACATACATGATAGGCACACTGGTGTGCATGCCCATGTGGGCATCTGTGCCTCCAGCAGCCAACAAGCATCCAAGGCAAACTGGCTGGTGGTGCTTGGGAGCCTCTTGCTGTCCATCATACACTCCCCAAGCCTTGATTTTGGGAATCCAGCCCTCAAAGATGCAGAGGCTAAAGGCTTGCAGGCTTGATGTGACTTCTCTTACCAGGTGCTTGTGAGTTTTTTGACGTGGGTATTTTGGTTTTGTTGCTTTGGTTTTTTTCATGTAGCTCTTTCTAATAGCATGTGAAGAGGGAGACCAGGCACTTTCCCCTCTCTTCTAGGTGAAGGGATTGAGGAGGACTAACAGCTGACAACCACTGTCTCTGTCAACTGAGACAACTTGGGCTGAGGAAATCTGTGGTCTTTTAAAAAATGCAAGTGCCCTACAAACCTGTGACAGGAGAACTATGACATATAAGTGCTTTTTCCTCCCCTCCCCGCTGTGTATATTACAGAAAGTCAATATTTATGAGAAAAATAACGAGGCCTCTTCTTAGTGAGAAGTAGCCTGCTAATTAATTAATAAGAAAAATCGTATTAAGTAGAGCATGCTGTTGTTTCTGTGCACTTGTTATACCAACCTGCTGAGTTTCAGAGTAGAATTGACTTTCTTGTATATTCTGTGGTATGACTTTAAAGTTAAATAGGAAAAGGCTTGTTTGCTACTAGGTTTGTTAGATTGTTCTGCAAAAGAAAGTACGTCCTAAGAGAAAATGGATTTTCACACAGTAAACTTTCAACCTAAGATTATGTTCATATTTGGGGAAAAAAAAAGCCCCCAAAGCAGAACAAAGCTCCTAAGCCCAAACAAGAGCAGTTTTGCACGCAGAACTGA